TAATTGAAAATAATAATAATAATAATAATAATAATAATAAAATCTATAAATAAAATAAAAACAAAAACAAAAAATAAAAAACAGAAAACAAAATGAAAAAAGAAAAAAAAAACCTACAAAACGGTAGGTCTGAAGAAATGGGTCATGCACAAACCTTCATAAGTCATGCAAGTCAACCTTGTGTGCAAAACAACGCCTATGGGTATAAAAACCTAATTTCCAAGCTTTTCCTTCAATCTGCCTTAGCCCCCTTCTCTCATTAGCTCTTTTCTCTTTCGCTTCTTTCTAAATTCCCCAAATTTGATCACCAGAAACTAAGTTTAGCCCTTGGTTTATGAAAAACTTGTTGGACTTTGGTCGAAAACCCCAAGTATGACCGAAACGTTCAACCAGAAAATTTAAATGTTCTTCCTAAAATCCAAATTTTCCTAGAAATCCAAAATTTTCAAATGAAACCAACAATCATGTTGAATCCAACACAATCCTACGTATCAATTTTCACACAAACAAAACCCAAATCTGTAAAAGTATCCCAGCAAAGAAAAATAGAAAATTTCCTTATGCCCAAAATTTTTCTCCTCTCTTTTTCTGTGTGATTTAAGATTCATTTATAAGGTTCATTTTCACAGAGATTTTAGAGATTTCATTCAATCAAATTTCACGAATTGATTTAGGGTTTTATTAAAATTGATTCCAATCATCGCGCCATTCCTGGTTTGGATTTAAACCATGCCCTAATCTATTGATTCTCTTACATTTCTTTAAAAATAGATTCAATCACATCCTGTAATTTAGTTTCATATTTTACAAATTTGATTTCTTGATTGAATCCTATAAGACCTTTAGATTTTTTCTTTCCCTTTTTTAGTTAATTTTTATAAAACATATAAAAAAAAAACAAAAATAAAGCAATCAGTAGGCCATAGCCTACACCAAAATAAAGGAAAAATAAAACAATCAATGGGTTATAGCCCACACCAAAACTACCAAAATTTGGCCTAAAACTTAAACAACATAAAACCCTCCACTGGGCTCGAAACTAGAGTAGGCTTATCCAAAGTCCAAAAGGCCCAATAGGCCTCTCTCGAGCCTGATAATCAAAAATAAAAAATATCGTGTAAGCCCAGATGAAAAAAGGTGTCTACAACACATGTACAATTAATTCGTTTAAACATAATACGAATAAACATGAATAATACAAGTATACACGAATAGACATGACTAACATGGATATACATGTATAGATACGACTAACATGAATATATATAAGAACACAACTAAAATAATAAATAACTATAAACTATTAATCATTTGCAACTTAATAAATTTGGCATATTAATAATATATAAAAAATACTTACATATTTAAAAAATGAAAAAATTTAATACTAATTTAATATGTATTTAATATATATTTTAAAGTTAAATTTAAATTATATAAATATATTAATTTTTAGTATAAATTCAAAATGATAAATTATTAAAGATTAAAGAATAAAATAATAATGTATGGGACTAATATTAATATTTATATTGTATTTATATTATTAATATAAAAAATAATTTTATAATAATTATTAAATGAGTATCATAATTAAATGTTTAACATAATTTTTATATGATATTAAATAGCTAATTAAGTATCATAATTAAAAAAATTAAAAATTAAAATAATATTTATATGTTTATATAAAATTCAAATAAATATAAAAATGTATTAAACATGTTAAATATATTAATATGTACTCGTATGATAAAATTAAATTAAACACGTTATTTGTATCGTGTCACGTGCTTAGATGTGTCAACACATATAACATGAATTATATCATGTCGAAATTCATATTAATACGAATAAATACGAAGCATATTTTTTAAAAAATACAAATACATTTTTTTATATATTGTTTTCGTGTCGTATTATCGTTGTAGATATTCTATTTAGTCCAAGGTTTGAGTTTGTTAATCTCAAATTTGATTCAAGTCCAATTGTTTTTTTTATATACATTATAAATAATTAAAAAAAGGAAAAAACCAGAAAAAAATGGATAAAATCAAAAGACAGTGATTTGGTTAACCAATTGAGGTCTGATTAAACTTAAACTTTTAAGTTTTGTTTTTTTGGATAATTAATCAAAGTTTTAATCCGATGATAAATTGGATTTTTTTTTTAAGAATCCAATCCTAGTGGAACATTGCTTGGATTTGTGGTCTTCCCTATAAAACGATCGTAAGCAAAATAGAGAGAAATCACCAAAGATCACCATCATCCCACTGCCATCTCTGTCGAAACACCACCTTTATTGCTGCAACCTCCAATGCTACATGAGAACAATCACCATCAACACAGATCTATTGCCACCACTATCATCAATACCACACGAGTCTCTAAGCTTCCATAGCATTGCCAAACAGTCCATCCCTCAAGCCTCCATAATACCAAACACCAACGTTTTAAAAATAAAAAAAATAAAACACTAAAAGACAGCCATTGAAATAAAAAAGAAAGAAAAGCAATCAGCATAAATGCCTTGCCATTACCAACACCATTAGTTGGGAAATATTGTCACCTGTCAACCATAACTCCAAGCTCCAATAACGAAGCATAAGTCGGGATAGAAGAAAACTCTTTTGAAATTCACGGGTATTCCTTATTAAAGACTTGTCTTTCTTTAAAAAAACCATAATTTTCAAAGAGAAGTATGTGGAAAAAATACCTAATATGGACAAAAGTTGTGAAGGCTTATTGCAAGTAGGTACTACTGGCTTTGCTCGAGAGGTTGCACAAAGCCATTTGCATTTACGATGGATGGGACACTCGCTGACTTTACTAAAGTAGCAATGCTTTTGTTTGTAATATTGAAAGGTACTTTTTACTCATTTATGTGTGTATTCAATTATTTAATTCTTTGTTTGTTTAGTTTTTATTTATTTACTTATTTTATTCTTTTTTTTGTTTAATGATGTTTTAATTATTTAATTGAAGAAAAGTAAATATTTAATAAAAATAATTAATATTTATTTTTAAATTACAAAAAATATAAATGAATTTTAGAAAATTTTGGGATGAGTTAATAATTATTCCAACGATGAGATTCTTAAAAATTTTAAATGATAAATTTTTTAAAAATCTTTAGGTGAGGAATTTATTTAAATTTAATCAAAATGATAAAATAATTTAGACGAAATTTTAATAAAAGTAATTATATTCTTTTTCAAATAAAAAATAAAAATCATAAAATTTTGTTTGAAAAGATATAACAATCGTCCAAAGATGAAATCTCAAGAAAAATCATAAATTGTTGAATTTTTATGAGATTTTCAAAGGAATTTTTTTAAATTAAGCCCAAATGATGGAAAATTTTAGAAATAAAACTTATAAAATAAAAAAATAAATTCTAAGAATAAAATTATTAATAATCGCAAATGAATGGTTATTTAAGATATTTTTAAGTGAGAAAATATTTTTAATTTTAATCCAAATGATGGAAAGATTAGATATATTTTCAATAAAACAAAATTTTAACAAAAAAATGATTAAAAGTTTTCAATGACGGAGCTTCTTTAAGAAAACAAATGGTATTATTGAATATTCTCGATATAAGAAAGTATTTTTAAGAATTTTGTCAGTTTGATGGAGAAATCTTAAAAATTATTTTTAATATTTAAATACTAAAATTTAAGACCATTAGAACTATAAACCTTTAAGATAATTTAAAATTAAATGATACTGTCTTTTAAGATAAGCATTGTAGGGATGCTATAACCTTCCTTACATGTAACCGAACTTCAAAACCTAATTCTGTTTAGAAAGTTACGACCTATTCTTTAAGGACTCTTAGTTAAGCTTAAAAATTCTTTAAAAAAATAGATTCATTCGGTAACCAATCATACCTTAATGAAAAAAATTGGTGATGACAAAGCCTTTTTAAGAAAACAAATGGTATTCTTGAATATTCTCGATATAAGAAAGTATTTTTAAGAATTTTATCAATTTGATGAAAAAATCTTAAGAATTATTTTTAATATTTAAATACTAAAATTTAAGACCATTTGAACTATAAACCTTTAGAATAATTTAAAATTAAATGGTATTATCTTTTAGGATGAGCATTGTAAGAGTACTATAACATTTCTTACATATAACCGAACTCTCGAATCTAGTTCTGTTCAGAAAGTTAAGACATATTCTTTAGAGACTTTTAGTCAAACTTAGAAACTCCTTAAAATGATAGATTCATTAAGTGGTCAATCATATCTTAATAAAAAATATTAGTGACGACTCATCTTATTTTATCTAGCTATTAATTTATGAATCTATACATTAAGATAATTATGTTGTATCTAAAATTATCAAGTCTAGGTGACTTGACTTTGACGGCGATGCATTATTCTTAGAAATTTAGAAATTTTAAGAATTGAAAAACATCTTTTATTTTATTATATTTATTTCGATATTATATGTTTAATTTAATTATTAACTTTTTTTCATCTTTGCATTTTTATTTTAAAATAATATATTTTAATTTATAAGATAATTTTTTTATTTTCAAATAAAATTAATATTTTAATATAATATGTTTGAAACATTAAAAAGTATAATTTAAATTTAATTTTTTTGTTAATAATGATATTAATGTTTTTCTCAAAACATCAAATTAAATCAAATATTAAAATTATAATATAATTTTTTAATTTGAATTATCGATATATTAAAATTAAAATTTAATTTTATGAAATAAGTGTAATGAATCAATATTATATTACAAATGATTATTTTATAATAAAATTAAATATTAAATTAATGATTTTATTTTTTATTTTATATTAATAATTATTGTAAATATAATGAAATGATAATTTTAAAAATTATTAAATATTAATATTTAGTGTTTCAAATTTATAACTTACAATAAAAACTATCCCTAATCTACGTTTAAACGTCCTTCTCTCCAATGTCTTAAAAAAAAAAAAGAAATTGAGGGGTTAAATTTGGGAGGAAAATGTATTTTGAAGTTATCAACACAACCTGTGGCTTAACATCTCTCTCTTATAAAAACTGAAAACATGCGACTCGAGAATGACAAAAGACGGAGTGAAAGGTATTGGGACTCGCAAACATCATTCACTTCTCTATTTTTTCTCTATCTCTTATTATATTTTAGGAAAAAAATGGGTGCATCTGCTCCATTCTATCGTTTTTTTAGCAGCTTCATATCCAGATCTTCAAGAAACAGTGTCAGTTAACTCTCCTGCAGGGGCCAAAGATAGATCAGTAATAAATGGGCTTAGAAAACCCACTTAAAATTAAATTTGGTAGAAGAAGAGATATCCCTCGCATGAACAACCATTAGCGCCACAATCGTAATTCCTCTTGCTTCCGGTATTGGTAGGACCTCTTCTGTGTCTGTGGTTTTTCTGATTTCGAATTGTTATTAATTTGTAACCGCACTTTGAATTAAAATTTTCATAGTTTACTTTATGACCTGTAATCCCAATTTTATTTGTGCTTTGATCCTCTCCTCATTCATGCGATCTGTTTTAATCCTTTGTGCAAGATTGTAAAAAGAAATTTGCTTCTCCTGGAGTTTGAAGCTCACTGACAAGGCAAGTCTCTACCTTGCATGTTCCTTTTTCTTTTTTTTTTTTTAATTTCTCTTTAATTGTTTTAACAAAGGTTAGCAAACTCCATTGTTGTTGTTGAAGAATTCTGGTAAGTTCATAAAACCTGTCTTTGTCTTTTTTTTTTCCCCTCCTTTTTACATTATTTAAAATTTTATATTTCTTTGGTGAGAGTAATTATTATTTTTCAGGTGACTGGTTTTAGATTATGTAAGGCTTAATCACAGCACAATTTCGTTTTTCAATTATTTGAAACCAGAAACTGTATGGAGTCGATGCTTCTAAGGTATTAAAAAAATCTTTTTGTTATTATTTTTAGTTTAAAAGTTGGGTTTTTTTTTTTTTTCATAAATATTCTAATTTGGAATTTTATCAGATTGGGAAGGGATTGTCCGAAGACACCAAAGCACAAAAATTGGCTTTTCAACATTGGATTGAAGCTATAATTTAACAATTATGGTATTCCAGTTTTTCTAATTTTCTATTTGAAATTGATTTTATTAGTGGTAGAAAATTTTGTTGGTGATTCATATTTTTGTTTTTAAATGTTCGTTTTAGTTGGGTCATGAGATCCGTTCTACTATTGTCTATGAGCAAATGCTTCAAACCTTGAAAGATTTCTTTGCAGTGAAGATTGTTCCAAAAGCCAAGGTATGCATGTTATATACTTTTCAAATGTGAAAGGAAAGCCTCAAGATTTGTTATTTGTTGTGCTTTCTAATCAACTTGTAGACTGGGACTAAGTACAATGAACATTCTTGGTTTTTAACTTTGTTTATGGAATCGCTGATAATCAACTGTGCAACTCTATTGTGTTCCTTTATTTTGAATGAAACATGTGTCAAACTCTTCTGTTCTTGATCCTACCTGCAGGTTTGAAACTTAAATAAGATATTCTTCTAATTTTGATTGTTGTGAAATTCTATCCCTCGTTGAAAGTTGTTTAAATTTTTACTCATCCAATGTAGATGGACAGTACATACCAACATCCAAGTATTCAAATCTTCATTATGGACTAAAACTCCCAGCTGTTACTGCAGAGAAGGCAGCCCATGTTGTTAGCCCAGATAAGCTGGAGAACAAGACTCAAGGTATTCACCAGCAAGTTAATAAGCTTGAAACAAGCAAAACAGATCTAGAAAAAGGAGAGAACTGTGGAAGTAGTACAGAGTTAGATGATTTAGATGGTGAAATTATCAAGGAAGATTGACTCCTACTTACAAGACTCCCTAATGGGAAGCAAGAAGATATGGCTCAATGGCTACCTGACTTCTACAAGACATCACGGTAACTTAAATTTTCAGGTATTATTATATGTTAAAATTTTCGTTATATGTTTTGTCTTTTGATGTGGAAACAGCAAAAGAAATGGCATTATGAGTTGTTTGTCAATTTCGGGCATGGAATGACCTTATAATACAATTTCACTATCATATTTTCACTTGGTCCAACCTCGAACTTCTTCCAAAAATGTATTACCTGTTCGTTTTTATCAATTTTGCTGTTGCCATTCATCTTCCTTTATATATATATATATATATATATATATATATATATATATATATATAAGCCCTCAAAATAAATTTCCTTTCAGTGTTTTAAGTGCAAGAGTGGCTGTTGTATAATTGATGTCAGTTTTATTGTGATATTTTACCCCATTATAATTTTCTCAAAAGACTTGTGAAGTATCTTTTAACCTCTGGGACTAAAGTGAGTGAATCCTATGACTTTTAGGTGCAAAACCAAATGTGAAACAAGGAAGAAGAAAAGAAGCGTGCTTGCTTAACATTGGAGGAGCTAGGTCAGTTGTCTGATGATACAAATACGTACAAATCCATAGGTATGTTATTCAAGCTGTGATTTTGCATTGGCATGAGATATTAGTGGTCTGTTTACATATTCAAAATGGTTTTAAATTCACACATCAAGATGCTACGTTTAGGCTTCTCTTTAGTTTCAGAATTGGCATTATGTATAGGGCCGTTTCATATGCTGTGACCTATGAGCAGCTGTTGTTGCTGCATTATAGATTGGTTGTGCCAAATCTACAGAGCAGTAACCTGTTTGTTTATTTTTTTTGCAGGGAAAACGTGGGTACCCTACAACTTAATTAAATGTTAATCATGGTTAATGGCCTGCAAGGAATAATACATGACATGGACTAATGAACATTTTTGTTTGGCTCTCTTTCATCATCTGTCCAGGCTTGTTTTAAAGCCTAAGTCAATTTTAATAAATGAATAAGAGGAAGTCCAGCTAGTATTTGCAGAAAACTAACATGTTCTTCTATGTGGGAAAGCAGGCATGGATCAAATGAGTTGTTAAATAGTTACTTAACAAGTTTCATTTATAAGAAATACCAATAATTTGGATAAACTACTTTGTGTGACAGTATCTGTTATCCTTTGTTTTTTTAAACTGTTTTAAACATTATCTATTATTCTTTGTTTTTTTGAAACTATTTTAAGACTTTTGACTTCAAATTATTATATTTCCTACCTATCTTTTATGAAAACATTTTTTTTTTCATTCCTAAAACAAACAATCCGCAGCAACCGCGCGGGCTTCACGCTACTTAAATTTATTTTATAATGGAAATTAAAAATTTAACATTAATTTTGTTAATTATAATTGATATAATTATTTAATAATTATCAATAATAACATTTTTAAAATTTAAAATTTTTAGTTTAAAAATATTAATTTCTTATTTATTTAAAAAATTGTATAATTATAATTTCGGATTTTTCGGGTTAATTCAGTTTTTTACGGGATTTTATATCGAAACGATTTTGACCTCGGATTTTTGTGGATTCATGATGGATTTGGATTGTATTAGTTTTAAGCTGGGATTCTAGTTTCTGTCTTTGATTTTTTTTTATAAACTCGGATTGATTCAGATTCAGTTACAAATCGGTTTGGGTAAATTTTAGGGTTCGAATCAATTTTGCCACCTCTAAGGAAGAAGAAATTGTATGATGCAAAACTCTTTATTAAGGCCATTAATTGCCTTTTACTTATTAATTTAATTGTTGTTCCTGTCAACTATAACATCTGCTTAATTACGAGATTTAATTTATAATTTATATAATTATTTTGAAAGATGAAATGTAAAATTTAAATTTTAACATATGTAATTTTTTGTTTTTTTAGAATATAGCTTTCTTTATGAAAAAAATATAATTTCTACTAAATTTTTGAGGTATAAAATGCAAATATGCATATCATCTTGGTGAGAAAAACCTTTGTATATAAAAGTGCTATGAAATGAGCCCATTTCAGTTTAGACATTGCTGAAAGACAAAAATTAAGAACATATAATGATCAAAGAATGAAATCTCTCAAATTGCTAATAAAATTATTAACATTAATCTAGTCATAAAACATAAACTTGCTTGCTTAATTCCTTTTTAACTTTATTAGAGTCGTACTTGAAAAAGGCATCTTTACTGCAATCCTGACTGCAAAGCTCTGTCCGACTCCACATTGTCTCTTCAAACGATTGTAACTTTCTGGGCCAGAGAGCTTGTGGAGAAAAATCTTTTGCGTTGAAATTGTCAGGACAGTCTCGTGTAATTGATTGTGGACTAATTAAAGGTTACGGGTCTTGATTTTTTTTTTATATAGAGTTTTAGTTACTTAATAAAAAAAAAAGTGAGGGTTGTAAGAAAAAAAAAAAATAGAAAAAATACAGAGAAAAAAAAAAGAATAGAGAGTTAGTTGAACGAAAGTTGATCATGGTTCGATTGAATTGAAACTTTATTAGCAGATTTATGATTTAAAGTTTTATATTTTAAACGGTGAAGATAGGGTTTGAAGCTTTTTAAGAACAAATCAAGTGTGTATTTGTTGAGTGACCTATTTGATAAGATTTTTTCAATTGTCTCTTTAGTTGTTGATTACTTCTAATTTTAGCTAGAGAAGAACTTTGTATATTCATTATTTGATAATGGAGATTTTTCTGGTGGTCCGTGATTTTTTCCTCTATAATTGAGGGTTTTTTATGTAAATTTTAGTGTGTTTTTATTTTTCTTGCATTGCTGATTGTTGATTATTGTCTATTACTTTGGGTTTATTACGTTATATTACTTCTACGTTGTTGTGTTTATTGCTTCAGACCCAACAAATGGTATCAGAGCGAGAGTTATTTTGAGACAACGATACAGAAGTAGTCCAAGATAGAAGTAAATTCTGTTTGAGATCATGGAGGGTGATATAGATTCCATGATAAAATTTACAGCATCAAATTATTCAATTTAAAAGCCTATGATGGAGGATCATCTATATTATAAAAATTTGTATGAACCGATATTAGGTAATTCGACTAAACCAGCATATATGAAAGCTAGAAGAAGTTAAGCAGAAAGACATTGGCTACAATCAGAAAATGAGTTGATATTAGAGTGTTCCATAATGTAGCACAAGAGGCAGATACCCGCATTGTTTGAAAAAAATTGACAGCATTGTATGAGAGAAAAAATGTATGAATAAAGTTATACTTGTTAAAAAGCTTGTAACTTTACAGTACAATGATGGATGATCTATTATAAAACACTTGAGTGATTTTCAAGATATATTTAATCGGATGATTATTATAGAGCTTAAGATGGATGATGAAATGAAGACATTGTTTCTTTTGGGTTCATTGCCAGACAGCTGAAATACTCTAGTTGTGATTATTCTTAATTCAGCTCCTTATTATAAGGTGACATTGGAGATAGTAAATGATAGTATGCTTAATGAAGAAGCGCGAAAAAATGTAGATCCTAAGAATCAAGCTCTGGTCACAGAGAACAAGGGTAGAAACATTAATAGAGGTCAAAACTCAAAAAATTATAGTAAATCTAAACATAGATCCAAGTCCAAAGATAAAGTAAAATGTTTCCATTATGGTAAGGTAGGTCATATAAAATGACATTGTAAAATCTTGAAGCAAAAGCAAAAAGATGAGAAAGGCAAGAGTTCAGATAATGGTAATGTTGCAATAGTGAATTTAGATAGTGATTTAGTTACTTTGATTTGTACACATTGTGATTGTAATCATGTTGGTGATTCCGGCATTGAGTGGATAGTTGACACAAGAGCGGCATATCATTATCTTCCTAAGAGAGAGTTATTTACAACTTATAAAGCAGGAGACTTTGGTTGTACTAAGATGAGAAATAAAAATGTGTCGCAGATTATTGGGATTGGTAATATTATTGTATAAACTAGTACATGCTGCATATTGACATTGAGGGATGTTAAACACATTTCGGATATGAGAATGAACTTGCTTGCTATTAATGTCCTTGATAAAGAAGGATATGAAAGTCGACAAAAGAATGGGCAATGAAAGCTTCTCAAAGGATCTATGGTAGTTGCAAAGGGAAAACTATGATGCACAATGTATAAGACATGGATGCAATTGAACAGCAATCAGAAAAAAACCGTTAAAGATGATGCTTCAGCAAACTTGTGGCACAAGAGGCTATGACACATGAGCGAGAAGGGGTTACAGGTTTTAGCAAGTCAATCTCTCATTCCTTTGACCAAAGGTATGTCTCTTGATTCATGTGATTATTATTTGTTTGATAAGCATCGTAGAGTTTCTTTTTGTAAGAGTTTTCAAAGAAAAGAAAATAGATTGGAATTGATTTATTCTGATGTATGCGGTCCCATTGAGGTTGAGTCATTAGGTGATAGCAAATATTTTGTTACTTTTATTTATGATATTTCACTTAAGACTTGGGTGTATATGTTGAAATACAAAAATTAGGTACTACAGTAGTTTAAAAAATTTCATGCTATAGTAGAAAGGATAACAGGGTTGTCCTTGAAGTGTATTCGGACTGATAATGGTGGGGAATACATATGCAAAGACTTTGAAGAGTACTATTTAAAAATAGGATCAAGCATGAGATGACAGAACCTAGAATACCGTAGCATAATGGTGTAGCTAAAAGAATGAACCGTACTATTGTGAAAAAAGTCAGATGTATGTTAACCAGGTATCCAGGCTTGTATATATCTTTGAAATATTTTGCTGTTGTACTATGAAAATTTGTCAAAAATACTTGAATGTACAAACAAATTGCAAGAATGTTTATCGTTTCAAAAATTAATGTCTGCTTTTTCTTCCCTGCAAGAATTGGTTAGATTTGCAAATGACTATTGAAAGCCTGGTTGAAAAGAAATCGAGTTTGAAATGCTGATATGATTGGAAGCCATGCCAAAACAGCAACTGGTGCAAAAAGCACTGAATCCATTCGATAATCATATGCTTGAGCAAGGACCCCGGTGAAGTACCAGAATCCGGTATTTTCAAGGGCCTCACAACTTGAGCAACCTGAAGAAACTAAAATATCAGAGGGAATAGGGGAAAACTACAATTGTTTAGTCAATTCTTCATTAATTTATTTCAGACAATAAAAATCATGAATTACTTTCAAAATGTTTGTTCAATAACTATATATGTTACAAATCTTTTACTTTTCTAAAAAACCCCTTTTTAATTTTTAGTTTCTATGGATTGCAAATTTGTCAAATGAAGATATTTTGGAACTTGATTTGAATATTAAGATGATGGCGTTATACTGTTATGGACAGCATAGGGGAGAAAAGTATTACACTTAAAAAAGTCCCAGAGCGAGAGGCCTTCAAACTGGAAGTGCCGGTCGTGAAGATTAATTTAATTTGACCAACCTTTCTAGCTTCTAAACGCTCTTTTTTCTTGCACATCCCACGATGTGATGAAATGGGCTTGGAAATTGGCTTCAGATGACTTTTGACTTTTCAAAGGCGGCGTTGGTTTTATGCATTTCCAATGCTTTTTTATTTCCTTGAATCAGATATTGTTGGCCTCATTTCTCTAATTCTCCAATTCTCTCCCGCCCCGAAGCTTTATGAAGCTCAAAGCACAACTTCCCTTCATTGGCCTCTTGGCCCTTGCTTTCTTTATGTTCCCTAATCCTTGCATCGCTAGAGGCAGAAACAAGGACTGCGGTTCTTCAAAGTGTGGAAACCTTAGCATCAGTTACCCATTTCGATTGAAAACACAGCCTCTCGATTGTGGTGATCCTAGGCTTGAATTGGAATGCGAGAATGATAGTAACCAAACGACTTTGGTCATCAACCAAGCGAAATTCTATGTCAAAGAGATCTTATATTCTGATTATGCAATACGAGTTTTTGACGCAAGCTTGGCTAGAGATAACTGCTCCCTTCCTCTCAGTTTGTTTCCTTTGATTTATTCTTCATGTTCGGCAATACCTTATATGCTTGATCCATTTCGTTATCGAGTCATGTATATTGTAAATTGCACAACACCCATGGAATCTTGGTTTTACGTTGAAGCATCTCGTTGCATCAACAGTTCTTCCAATCCAAGAACTTACTTGTATTTTTTATATGAAAGGACACCGCCAAGAGATTTCAGTCAATTTTGCACAGTCGTAGCCTATGTTCCAAGCATGCTTGGGAATATCTCGGGAATGTCTGCTTTAGATATCTACGAAAAGCTATTAATGGGGTTTGAAGTGTCATGGAAATACTACAATATGAGCTGCGGCGATGACAAATTTTCCTTCCTACATGTGTAAGATTCTTTTCTTAAATCTTTCAATTTTATTTGCATTGTGTGATTTGGAAAATAGAAGTAAAAAGACAGTTTTTTTTTTTTTTTTTAAACTCAAAGCTAACATTTTGACTGGAGGTTTGTTATAATGTTTTGTGTGGATGTCTAATTTTAAGATTTAAAACATTAATTTTTAATATCTTGAACCATTTGTTTGACATGTTAAGTACTGACATAGATGTGTTTCTTTGGATTTGTTGAATATGATACCAGATTGTCCTCGTTGCGGTATGGCTTGGAAATCTATTTGGAAAGCTTTATACACTACCTTTTTAAAGGCCCTCATCTGACCTCTGACACCGTAAACACACCTAAAAGTATGCTTTGTAGGCATCATTGTTTGGAATTTGCCCTTTTGTTCCTTGATAATCCTTATCATGTTCAAATAATTAATCTTTCCTTCGTTTTTTTTTAACAGAAACATACATTATGAGTCTTCAAATAACAGGTAAGTTATAGCTCTCAATTCCATTTTATCTTCATCGTAACATTAAAATCTAGCCGTTTAGGACTGATTTGGATGCATGCATGATGGGTTGTCCAGTCATAAAACGTAGGTCTCGGCACACATTCAAATCAATCGTTAAGCTTTTTATAGAACTTGAAGGTGAAAGGGTACAAGAATAAAAGTATTTCACCGTATAAATGTATAAAGAAAAGGAAAAACCAGGCTTGAATAATTTGATCAAATAATTAAATTATTATTTGGAATGAATTGAAGAAATAAGAAATAATGTCTAGAACTAAACATTTATAGACTTTATGAGTTCTATAGATTCATTTTAGAATATGAGCTTCCTAAATTTTAATCATGTTATAAAGTTCGTTTGGAAAATATACAAGCACATATGTTGCATCACACTTTTCCTCATTTAAAAATGCTAATATATTCAATTAATGTATTTTTCTTGAATAGGAGGAATTATCCTACCAAGAACATTGTTGGGGATATCTTGCTTGATTGCATTGGTTATGTATAAATGGCGAAGGAGACATTTGTCTGCGGATAATATAATTGAAGAATTCCTTCGAAGTCAAAATAATTTAATGCCCATAAGGTATTCTTATCATGAAATAAAAAAAATGACTAAAGGTTTCCAAGATAAATTAGGTGAAGGAGGTTATGGTTCGGTGTTTAAGGGAAAGCTTCGGAGCAACCAACTTGTAGCAGTAAAAGTATTGGGCAAGTCAAAAGCTAATGGACAAGATTTCATTAGTGAAGTCGCTACAATTGGGAGGATTCATCATGTTAATGTGGCAAAACTTGTTGGATATTGTGTGGAGGGATCAAAACAAGCTCTTGTTTATGACTTCATGCCAAATGGATCTCTTGATAGAATCATATTTACAGGAGAAGATAGGATTACATTAAGTTGGCAAAAAATTTATGATATTGCGTTAGGAGTGGCTCGAGGGATTGAATATTTACATCAAGGCTGTGACTCGCAAATTCTACATTTTGATATCAAACCACATAATATTCTTCTAGATAAGAATTTTATACCAAAAATTTCAGATTTCGGTCTTGCAAAATTATATTCATTGGATGACAGCAATGTATCTCTTACAGCAGCACGAGGTACATTGGGATATATCGCTCCTGAATTGGTGTATAAAAATATTGGAGGCATCTCATATAAAGCTGATGTGTATAGTTTTGGGATGTTATTAATGGAAATGGTGGGAAGGAGAAAGAATTTAAATGAATTTGTTGAACGCACAAGTCAGATGTACTTCCCATCATGGATTTATGATCGATTTCATCAAGGAAAGGATATGGAGTTGGGAGATGTGAGACTTACAGATACTGAAAATATAATTGTGAGAAAGATGATAATCACAGCATTTTGGTGTATACAAATGAAGCCTGTGGATCGTCCTTCGATGAGCAAAGTATTAGAGATGCTCGAAACTGATGTTGAGCTCCTTGAATTGCCTCCCAAACCTTTCCAACTACTACTTCTTGACTCATCAGGCAGTGAAGAAGAATCCAATTAATGAGCCAACTACATCACATGATTCTATGAATGTAATAAGCTTAAATGTAGTTTAATTGAACTTGGAAATTGCTGAATAGTGAACATGAAATTAGAACACCTTATAATTTTCTTCCACTCGGTCTATTTGGCTGGGAAAGTAGCAAGGAAAGGAAAACTTTGTGTTTTGTAATGAAAAATGTCTCATCATTGCTATTATTCAAATTGTGAAATTGAGATGGTGGATTGAAGTAAAAAATTGCTTGCTGCTCTCTATTTGGTATTTCATAGCTACAAGACAAATATCTTTCTCCAACATGATTGATATTTCTCTGGACCTACCTATCCTTTAGAATTGACAGCTCAATGGTTTTCTGGTTCTAAAATGTAAATTAAATAAAAAAATATTTTTTATTAATAATTTAATATTTCCAAATAAGTCTGGACTCGAAAAATTACTATTTAAAATTTAATCTGAGTTTCAATCAAATCAAACAGCACAATGTAGATCAAACGGATAACTTTGATTCGTGAATCAATTTACTAATTTAACTTCGAAGAAATTTCGTATGTCCAAAAGCTTGACTAATCAACTAATTAAAGTCTTGTGTTCCAATTTAGAATTTGCTGCTGGTATCCAACGATTAACTCCATTTTATGAACATATCTATCATGGAGGAAATTTCGTATCTCCAAAAGCTTGACTACTTAAGTAGTTAAAGTCTTCTGTCCCCATTTTGGCATTTGCTGCCGACTATTGATTGCTCTCATTTATTGCCATTGTGCTGTATTTCCTTGACTAGTTAGAAACTTGTTAGCCCCATGCTCGATCTTCTTTCCTACCGAAGTTTTAGCATGCCAAAATCAAAAGTAAAACTTCCATTATTTGGCCTCATGGCCGCTTTCGCTTTATTTCTAATTCTATTCCCTGCTGCTTGCCTCGCTAGGCATCGGCACGAGGACTGCCGCTCTGCTTTCTGTGGAAAATTGCTTGCTTCTCTCTATCTGGTATTTCATGGCTACAAGACAAATATCTTTCTCCAACATTATTGATATTTATTTGGACCTACCTATGCTTTAGAATTGACAGCTCAATGGTTTTCTGGTTCTAAAATCTAAATTAATCTAAAAAATATTTTTATTAATAATTTAATATTTCGAACTGAATTTGGATTCAAAAATTATTATTTTAATTTGAATTTCAATCCAATCAAATTGCATAATGTAGATCAACAGGATAATTTGATTCGTGAATCGATCTACTAATTAACTTTGAGGAAATTTCATACATCTAAAAACTTGCCTAATTAATCAATTAAAGTCTTGTGTTCCCATTACAGCATTTGCTGCTGATATCAAACGAATAACTCCGTCCATGAACATATCTATCTTGGAAGAAATTTCTTATCTCCAAAAGCTTGACTAATTGAGAGTTAAAGTCTTCTGTCCCCATTTTGGCATTTGCTGTCGACTATTGATTGCTTTCATTTATTGCCATTGTGCTATATTTCCCTGACTAGTTAGAAACTTGTTAGCCCCGTTAACGTTCTTCTTCCCTACCCAAATTTTTAGCATGCCAAAATCAAAAGCAAAACTTCCATTGTTTGGCTTCATGGTCGCTTTTGCTTTATTTCTAATTCTATTCCCTGCTGCTTGCCTCGCTACTAGGCATCGGCACGAGGACTGCGGCTTTGCTTTCTGTGGAAACGTTAATATCAGTTATCCATTCCGATTAAAAACCCAACCTCGCCACTGTGGCTACCATAAGCTTGAATTGGAGTGCGAGAATAACAACCGCACTACTTTGGTCGCGAAAAATGGGAAATTCTCTGTTCAAGAAATCTTTTATGAAAATTATACAATGCGAGTCATCGATGCAAGCCTCGACAGGGATGATTGCAACTCCTTTCCTCTTAGTTCCTTGGTTTCGTATGTTGGCTGTGATTTTTTATTTTATGATTTTGTTTCTTCTCCTGGAATTAGCTTTATGTATGTTGTAAATTGCACAAAACCAATGAAATCTTCTATCTATGTTGAAGCCTCTCGTTGTACCAACAAATCCAATAGCTCTTCTAGCCCAAGTTCCTATTTCTACTTTTTAGATATAAATACCCCGCCATCTGATTTTGATCAATCTTGCCCAGTCGAAGCCCAGATTCCAATTACAGTTAATAGTATCTCAGGGATGTCTACGCTGGAAATCTACAAGAACCTATCAAAGGGTATTTTGCTCTCATGGGAGTACTACAATGGAACCTGCAGCTACAAAGCTTCATTACAAGATGTGTAAGTTTCTTTAACTTGTCATATTTATACCCAGCCGAAAAAAAAAAAACCTTTTGTTTGACTATAGATCTGTTATTCGGATGTGTTGAATATTGCAGATTGGACCTTGTGCGATATGGCTTGACGATTTATTTGCAGAGCTTTTTAAATTTCTTTCTCCACGGCCCCAAGATAACCTCTGATCTAACATATAAAAGTATGCTTTACAGAGTTTATTTGCATTAATTATTTTTACTGGATTTTAATTTTCCTTTTTGTTCCTTATAAATATAAATATATATATTGATATAAATATATATATTCTTTGCCTTTTTATTACTGCAGGAACTTATATTTTGTGTCTTGGAGCAACAGGTATGCTTTTGGTCTCAATTTTATATGTATGGGAATAGCAATAGAAAAAGAGTTTGTTTTCATACGCTAAAAATGAAATCTGTTTAATTTCATAAACAGAATTAATCAAACAGAATTAAACAAATGTCACATATAATTTGAAGATTATAGAAAAGCTTTTCAAGCTTAATTTAAGAAAAATTAAAAGAGCCTATTTCATTTCATCATAGCCTTTTATATTTATCTCGATTTTAAATTTTGAAAAGTACTAATGTGCTCCAATTTTTTCTTTGATTTCATAAGTACTAATGTGCTCCAAATTATTTTTCTTGAAAGGTGGAGTTATCTTACTGAGGACTTTGATTGGTGTACTATGTTTGCTTGCTCTTGTTATGTACAAATGGAGAAAGAGACATTTATCTGCGGATGATGCAATTGAAGAGTTCCTTAAAGGCCAAACCAATCTAGCACCGATTAGGTATTCTTTTAAAGAAATTAAAAAAATGACTAAAAATTTTAAAGATAAATTGGGTGAAGGGGGCTATGGCTCGGTGTTTAAAGGAAAGCTTCGTAGTGGGCATCATGTGGCAATAAAATTGTTGGGCAAGTCGAAGGGTAATGGCCAAGATTTCATAAATGAAGTCGCTTCTATTGGGAGAATTCATCATGTTAATGTGGCAAAACTTATTGGATTTTGTGTGGAGGGATCAAAACAAGCTCTTGTATATGATTTCATGGTAAATGGATCTTTAGATAAAATCATATTTTCAGAAGAAAATAAGAACACTCTAGGTTGGAAAAAAATGTTTGATATTGCGCTTGGGGTGGCTCGAGGAATTGACTACTTACATCAAGGATGTGACATGCAAATTCTGCATTTTGATATCAAGCCACACAATATTCTGTTAGATGAGAACTTTAATCCAAAAGTTTCGGATTTTGGTCTTGCTAAATTGTATTCAGTTGAGGATAGTATTGTCTCTCTCACTGCAGCACGAGGAACAATAGGATATATTGCTCCAGAATTGGTTTACAAAAATATTGGAGGGATCTCATACAAAGCTGATGTTTATAGTTTTGGAATGTTACTGATGGAAATGATTGGAAGGAGAAGGAATTTGAATGCATTTGCTGACCACTCTAGTCAGATATATTTTCCATCATGGATTTATGATCGATTGGATCGAGGAGAGGACATAGAGCTGGGAGACATTAGTGATGGTGAAAAAATAATGGTGAGAAAGATGGTCGTAGTAGCATTTTGGTGTATACAATTGATGCCTGCCGATCGTCCTTCAATGAGTAAAGTCTTGAAGATGCTTGAAACTGATGTTGAGCTCCTTGAAATGCCTCCCAAGCCATTTTATCAACTTCCCCTTGAAACATCAAGTGAGATCCATGGTTGTGAGAATCCGATTGACGAGCCAACTTTGTCAATGCACGCTGACTACATAGAAGAAGCTTAAATGTCGTGTAATGTAGCTTAAATAAAATGTAAGTTGCTTAAATGTTATCCAAGTTGACTTTGATTTTTCAATGGATGTTATCCACGTTGCTTGACTAATTTGGGTAAATTGTTCCCTACACTGACTCTGATTTATCAATGGATGACCTGCTTGGTTGCTTTAATATACATCCATGAAGGACAAAAAGGTTCAGTGCTTCTATCCATATATGGCTCATTTCATGATTTCTTGTAGATTAATTATAATAATTTTTGTAATTCATGTTATATATTACTGTCAGACACTATGTATACCTTCTCATAAAAATTATGTATTTATTCATAGGAGATTTCAAATTCAATTCTGCTTATTTCGTTGAAAAGTAGACTCAATAATATTTTCAAACATGAATGGCTCTAATTCTTAATTTTTTGTATAAAATTTAAGACAATTTTTATAAAATAAACCCTGATGATGCTGTCATATAGCTTGTATATCTTTAAGTAAAAATTAAACTACTCTTCAAAGAAAACTCGAAATTGACATCCGTTTATTTCATTACATAGTAAATTCAGCAAGCTTTCCAATGATGTATAATAATCATAACAATATTTAATCTTTTAATACAGAATATTATCTTAATACATTACTACAAATATTAAAATTCATACGAAATAGAAATTTTCCTTTCTAATCCTATCAAATTTTTATTTCTTATTTTTACTGTAATAAAATCACATTACTAAACTTTCTCAATACTTTATTAGATCCTAATTAAAGTCTAAATGATTTGCTTAAACTAATCTTGAAGGGAGATAATAGATTTCCTAAAATTTTAAGATTTCTCGATTTCAAATTATACCTCAAGACAAGACTTAACAATCAATATTATTTCTCCAAAATTGAAGGAAATTATTTACTCACATTTATCAGACAATTGTCCTTATAGATTTTGTTATTACCCTTCACTTATAATTCTCCAATTTATCTTTTCTGTATAAGAAAGAGAGGAGAACTAAACTTTTATTTTTCTTTAAATTAGTACTCGATCGAAAATAGTAGAATTAGTTAATCCTATTAAAAAAATTAGATTATTTATCAATAAGTCTTATGCATTTCTTATTTTTTATTAAAAAGTCTCTCCACTTATAAAAATACTTAAAATAGTCTTTTTTTTTTTTTTTTTACGGGTATTACAGCTTCTGTATTTCGTTCTTGACTTACTTGTTTAGCCTCATTTCCATTCTTCTTCTCCACCCAAATTTTTTAGATGCCAAAACCAAAACCACAACTTCCATTTTTTAGCCTCATTGGTCTCGCTTTATTTGTATTCCCCGATGCTTGCATTGCTAGACTCCAGACCAAGGACTGCGGCTCTACTCGGTGTGGAAATGTTATTATCCGTTACCCTTTCCGATTAAAGAACCAACCTTGGGAGTGTGGTGACCATAGGCTTTAATTGGACTGGGACAAAGACAACACGACTTTGGCCACGAAACATGGGAAATTCTTGGTCCAGCAGATCGTTTATGAAAATTATATAATTCAATTTGTTGACGCCAGTCTACGCAGCAAGGATAATTGCTCCATCCCTTTTAATTCCTTTTCTTTTGATATTTCTGCATGTGGGGCAATTTCGTACAAGCCTGTACGATCTACTTATACTTCAGTTACCTTCAAAAAAAAAAAAAGGTGATTATTTTAGGTTTATGTATCTTGTAAATTGCACAATACCAATGAAATCTTCTACCTACATTGATGCCTCTCGTTGCCCCAATAGCTCTTCCCGTCGACCTTTCTACCTTTATTTGTGGCAATAAAATTGTTGGTTAAGTCAAAAGCCAACGGGCAAGATTGTTGGAATTTGCCTTAAATCTCAGAATCTCACATTGAAAGTTAAATCAGTTTGATTTTATCTTGTATCCCACATCAGGAGTTTAGTAAAGGTATAAAGGGTTTTATCCTTATAAATAAGATGTTTTGGTTTTAGCTTGGTAACCCCACATCAGAGTCAATGTGAAGATTGTTGAGAATATTGACTCAAATCTCATAAGAGATTTGTTTGAGATTTGTTTGAAATTTGTTAGATATTGTTTAATGGACAAGAAGACTTGCAAAAGAAAAATTTTAAAAGAAAGAGGATTCTTAATAGGTAAGTTTGATTTGTAAGAGAAGAATTTTAAGGGAAAAGAGATTCTTAATAAGCAAGTTTGACTTACAAGAGAATAATTCTAAAAAGAAAGGGATTCTTAATGGGCAAGTTTGTATGGTTATAAATAGGTGAAATCTCTATAGGTATGAGAAAAAGATGTAAGAGAGTTGTAAGGTTTTGTGAGATAGACACCTTATAGGAGTATTGAGGTTCTACATCTTATGGGTGTGTATGTTTGTTTGTGAATGGACTAGAAGAGACTGAGAAGGTTCACATAGGTATGATGTATGAGAGCATATGGGTATGTGTTTGGTTATGTTGAAAAGGTGCACTAAGGTTTAGATTTGTATTTGTTTGGGTTGAGAATACTCCATAGTACTAGAGGAGATTGAGAGTATCTTATGAGTATTGATTGCTAATGAGGTTGATGATTTGATGTAAGTTTGTAATTCTCTATAACTAGTGGATCTTGTTTATCATCCGTGGATGTAGGTCAGTTGGATTGAACCACGTTAAATTGTTGTCTCTTATGTATTTGATTTATTGTTTGATTTCGCTTCCGTTGGTGTGATTGGATTGGAGGCTCTTAACCCAACAAATGGTATCAGAGCTGTGGTGTTTTTTTTTTCCAACAAGAATGTTATTATTGTGGTAAGAAGAGACATATCCAAGTGCGTTGTAAGAAGCTGAGAAGGGATATGACTGTTTTTAAAAGGGCGAATGATGATAAGAAATCAGATGAAGAAAAGAGTGATACTGCTGCTGTTGTGTTTGATGATGATGATGTTGTTTTGACAACTTGTGTTTATGAGACTCAGACTTTGAAAAGTGATAAAGGTTTGGGTTTTAGATTCAACTACAGTTTATGTTTGCAATGATAGGAGTTGCTTTGTGGAGTTAGATGAGAATGAAAAGTATGGAGATATTGTGGTTGCTAACAAAGAAAATGTACAGATTCAAGGCATTGGGAGTATTCACCTTAGATCTCACAATGGTGTTATTAGGACACTTCGTCATATAAGGTATATACCAAATTGTCACTATAATTTGATTGCTTTGGGTGAGTTAGCTTCTCGGGGGTACACATATTATGATAGTAATGATTGGTTGAAAGTGTACAAGAATGGTAGTGTGATTCTACAAGGGAATAGGTTCAATAATCATTTGTACATATTTGATTGAGGCTCAGTTGCTGAGATGCCTGTGATGAACGAAAAGAAGAAAGGTAAGCGTGTTAGCTTTGTAAATACTGTTGAAGTGTTTGGAGATTAAGTCAAGGAAGGGTTTGTTGGGATTTGCCTTGAATCTCAGAATCCCACATTGAAAGTTAAGTGAGTTTGATTTTATCTTGTATTCCATATCGGGAGTTTAGTAAAAGTATAAAGGGTTTTACCCTTATAAATAAGATGTTTTGGTTTTAGTTTGATAACCCCAGAGAGTTAGACACCAAGAGAATAGCTAAGTGAGTAGGCTATTAAAGGGTGTAATTGAGTTTTAGGTTAAGTTTTGAGTAAAGAATTTTAAGAGACTTTTCTCATTCTAAAAGTCTCACAATTGTAAAGATTTATTTGTTAGGCTATTTTGAGTTGGGCCGAACAAATATATTTATGTGTTTTTATTCTTGATTTGAGCTCGTTATTTTGTATGTGGTTGTTGCGTGTGCGTGTTATTTTTCCCAACAAGTAGTATCAGAACTAATGAAGTTACTACAATTGGAAGGAATTACCATGTTAATGTGACAAAATTTATTGGATTTTCTGTGGAATGATCAAAACAAGCTCTTGTATATGACTTCATGCGTCATATTTGCAGAAGAAAATAATAAAGTCATTTTAAGTTGGCAAAAAATGTTTGGATATTGCACTTGGAGTGGCTCGAGGGATTGAATACTTGAATCTATGATGCAATATGCAAATTCTACATTTTGATATTAAGCCACACATATTCTTCTAGACAAAAACTTTATTCCGAAAGTTTGACATTTTGATCTTGCGAAGTTATATTCCTAGATGATAGTATTGTTATCTCTCTCGCAGCAGCAGCAAGTACACTAGGATATATTGCTTCTAAACTAGTGCATAAAAACATTGGTGGCATCTCATATAAAGCTGATTTTTATAGTTTTGGAATGTTATTAATGGAATTGGTGGGAAGGAGGAAAAATTTGAACCCATTTGTCGAGCAATCAAGTCAATTACTTCCCATCATGGATATATTACCGGATTGATCAAGGAGATGCCAGAGAGTTGGGAGATGTTGCAGATGATGATAAGATTATTGTGAGGAAGATGATAATAACAGCCTTTTGGTGTATACAAATGAAGCCTACTGATTGTCCTTCAATGAGCAAAGTCTTGGAGATGCTTGAAACAAATGTTGAGCACCTTCAAATGCCTCCGAAACCTTTTCGGTTCCGACTGAATCATCAATGGAGGAGCATGTTGGCGAAAATCCAATTGACTAGGCAACCATATCTTTCAAGAACTTTAATTAAGCTATCTTGTCTAGTCAAACCATATCATATCCTCTTCATAAACAGAATCGGATGGCTTAGGCTAATATGGTGTATACTTATTGCATCAAAACCAATGATCCGATCGATTTCTGGCGATTAGTAATTTGAGCCTTTTGTTACCTTAAATGTGGCTACTGATAATTGAAGGGCATAGCAGATGTGAAAATAGAACCACCCTGTTTTCATAACAGAATCTCTGAAAATTTCCGACAAAACTCGTAGCATTTTCCATCTGCATTGGTGTTTAATTTTGGCATATTTTCTCATACCTTCATCTGTCTCCAACTATGTACCACTCCCTCTAAGGCTCAACAAGGGACATTTTCTAGTTATATTCTTCTTCCTTTTTTTCTCCTCCATGGAATCCAAGGGTTTACTGGGATATTGGAGAGGCACCTGATGAGCTAAAATGTTGCTTGTGCAAATATTGAAAAACTATAATTACCGCTTCGGATAAATTTGAAAATTTGAGCAAAAACTCCAAAGCGTGTAACAGTTGGACTTTCTTTAAGGTTTTATTTACCTTTACTATATTATTTACTTAATAAATATGTAAAAAAATTACAAGCAATAAACTTTAAAAATATAATAAAACCCAGTGACTGATTATGTTTTGTATTGATAAAATCAATCTATTAAACATTCACTGACATATCACAACCAAACTTCTATAAATATTTTTTGTAGTAAAATTTTTATAAAAGAAATTGAAGTTTGAAGAAAGAGAATTCTAAAACTTGTTTGTGTATTTTTTACAAAATTAAAGAAATTTTTTATAAACATATAAATGTTATTTTTTACAAACATAACTATTTAATTTAAATAGACAAAATGTTTGTATTTAAATAATTAAAACTGTTCATTTTAAACAAATTTATCTATCTATTTTATACCCACTTAACTATATATTCTTATTCTTTTGCCATTTTTGGACAAACTTTAATCAAACAATTATAAATCTTAAATAAAATAAAATAATATATTTTATTTATCTTTACATGTTTTATATCATTAATTAAATATTAATATATATTAATTATTTAATTAATGCAAAACCGACCAAGCTTGAAAAACCAAGCTCGTGATCAATTAGCCATTTAAATCCAATTATAATAGACTTTTACTTCTCTTAATTTAAATGATTGCTTTCTCATTATTTTTTTCAATCATTTTTTTTCGATCATTTCTTTTTTCAATGTGAGATCTGATATTTTATTTTAAAAATCTCTAACAAATGTATGACTAGCATTCAATCTGGTGTACTATTTGTTGAATTTCCTCAACAATCCCCGATCCCCCAGGACCATGCATGCACCATGTCCTTCAGAGGGGAAACTGTCTGCAGACCAATATTAAAAATGTTCCAACAAAATAAAAATTGCCTACCAGAAGAGATCTTTATAAAACTAGCATGGATTCAGTTTCAGCTAGTGCAATGAGCCAAACAAGTGAAAACATGCGTGTCCTACTAGAGAAATAAGACCAAAAAAATAAATCAGCTGAGCCCAACGTAATGGCTTGCACCATACAATCTTCAAAAAAACATTTTCAGAAAATAAGATATATTCCTTTCCTTGGGTATTTTAATATGATCCACATGCCTCGAATCAACAAAGCATTGAAAACAAAAATTGAGGCAACACTTCTACCTAGCTAAGTTACTTTATCTAATCAATTGGAATTTCCATTAACTAGTGTTCACAATGAGCAGTTCTATCAAGAGTATTTTTTAGGTTACTCCCATATTTTACAAACATGCCATAGTCACTATCTAAAGAAAATTCGGACACCAAATCACCGACCTGTTTCAAGTTCTCTTCAACTCTATTCATGGGTTGGGCAGATGAGTAGGAATCAAAAACATAACCCTTCTCCTCTAACACATACCTGGTATGAGGTCTAGTAGTTGAAAACATTCTACACGAAACTGTCTTGGAAGAGGAGGATTCTGGAGTATACAAGTTATTGAAGATTGAGAATGGATCTCCATTGCTTGCATCAGCGTAGTCCACAGTACTGAAAGAGTCTCTAGTACTCTCCGTTGTGAACGAAGCCTCATCTGAGCTTGTGAAAAGGGACCAATCACTTGATGTAACGTCAGAGAACTCCACACTAATAGGATCAGCATACATCTCCACCACAGGATGAACGTTACCATTTGCACTGTGCCTAAGAATGCCATTAGTGTCACGGCCGACACAGCCCGTAGCAATTTCTGGTCCGAAACCTGGGAAAAGCTTGTGGCCAACAGAATGGCTGTTAGATTTACTTTGTGTCGCTCGTGAAGGTCTCTCCATTTTTGATGAGAGGTGCCTAGCGGGAACTTGCTTCTGTATGCTCTTTTCAGTGAATGTTTTTTGAGGGCGAGGACATGACCTTGAAAAGAATCACATACTTTCAGAACTACAAGAGAGAATTGATATGGAAGCCAAAAGTAACATTCATACAACATAGAAACATCCACAAAAATACTATAACGACAAAACTGACTAGAGTTTCAACATTTAATGCTGCAGCAAGGCATATGATAAATGTAAACCACATAGAACACCATAAAGCACAACTAATCTTATTGTTTTCTCTCCTTGGAGAAAGAAGATTGACGATGCAAGAGATTGCTAAGAAGTAACACTATTACTAGGTAATTTCAACAAACTCTTAACTGATTACATGGGATGGAAAACCAAGTAAGGGAAAATGGAACAAAGGGAAGGGAGAAAACAGGGAAAGGAAGACAGTATTTCTAGAGTACTCTAGAAAAAATAGGTGTCTACCTCATGTAAAATAAGATGTATGCCCCCTCCGACATCACTTGGCTCATTGAGACTGGATGTACCTGTAAGTGAAAGGGGGAACCAAAACCTTGTTTCAATACCATTGCAACAAAAGACAATCCAAACAAAACAGTTGGAACTAATAAACATTTAAAAATGCAGACTATCATGTTAATGCTTTACATCAGCTATTGGAGCTCATGAAATATACAGGCATGAATGGTGAAATTCCTTCCAATAACACTAGTAGCAAGACAAAAGAAAAGGAGAAAATGAAAATAACTTAACCAATAACATACAGAAAAGCAGTTCATCAACATGCAAAACATGTGTTCACAGAACTTTAAGGAGGAGACAACTTTACCTCAGTATCATCTATCCTGAACCAGTTGCCTCGCAAATCTTTTACATATGACACATAATGTCCAGAAAAAGATGCATTCAGTGTATCCAAATGCACCACAACAGCATAAAGCTTGTAAAGTGGAGGGATGTCACCCATTCCAGTCATAAAAGGAACCATATCCAGCATGTCAGGAAAAGTGATACACTTGTTTATTTTCCCATATTTTCCCTCCTGATTAAGCAACAGCCATATCAAGAAATAATCAAGTCAAATAACAAACAAACCAAAAGCCGATATTAGGCAACGCCTCAACAACAGATACACAGACAAGAATGCACGATGGATAGGTAGACATAGAAACCTATCATCCCCAAATTGTTTCATAAGTAAAGCACCTAATGAGAAGCTAACCAATTTTAGGCTATGGTGTGTCTAGAACAGGACATACATATAATGTCTACCATCAAAGTTGAGGCTGACTTATCTGCTCTTTTGTTGAGCTAATACATAAGTTGCTTATGTTATGTCGCTAATATAATTATGAAGCAGCTTGTAAACCACCGGCCCAAAACTCAAACCCAATTGCCTATAGACCAAAAGTGCAAGTTCTGAGGTATGCTGTTGCATTTATGACATAACACTAACAGAGGACAGTACAATGTAGAGCAGAATGATACCTGAAACCTCTTTAAGACAATTGTCAGGATATTAGGAGCCTCATGTATGCACAACTGCTTCCTAGCCCGAACATAACCAGCACACCTTTTGACAAAAATATTTGCAGAGCCAGTAACTTAAACAAGTTTAAATACGGTTAATAATTCTAATAAAAGATAATACAATAACACACTGAAACAAGGTTTCACACCTTCCACATCTGTACATGTTTTCTCCATCCAAATCTTCAGGTGTTGTAAACTGAGTTAGTGCATCTTCCAATGACTCAACCCAACCAAATATCTCTAATGTAAGATCCATAATGTTTTCATATCTTTCTGACTCATGAAAACATCTTAGACACTTAACCTGATCACATGGAGATTGAATATACATTGGCAACAAAAAAGTTAAAAATTTTTTTAAAAAAATACAAATCGAGGACAAGTAAAATGAAGCACAACAACAATTTTGGTGACAACTTAAGGTAAAAGTTAAACAAAGTAAAATAGCTATAAACACCTTTGACCTAAGGCGCCCTCCAAAAGTATGTTGTATAAATGTTGTCTCTTGCAACCTGGGGTCAACTTTGTGTTCCCCACCTAATCTCTCCAAGCATATTGATTGCATTGAAGCAACCAGGAGTCTGAAACAGACAACAATTGAACTTTCAGAGAGGCAAGGGGATGAAATTTCCATTCTTACAGTAAAAGCATCAAATCTTAAACTGAAACTGATAAATCTAGACATAAAAATATTGGCTAGTAAATCCTGTAGACCTCAAGAACTCATGTGCGTCTTCCTGACTTCCATCACCCATCTGGCAATTAATACTTCGGATGTGAGAAAGGATCCTAGTAGGTGACAAGGGGCCTCCACTCTCTCTTAACAACATCACATGTTGTTCAAGCTCACACATAAGACACCAATCTTTCCCATAACCTATAATGAAATGCAAATGTAAGCTATGTACGTGATTGAACATTGACATGATTATCATGTGTAAATAACAAACAAGTGAACCATGAAAAAGCAAGTACAGGCTCTTGAGTGTGATCTATGCAGCAAATAGATGCTGAGAGGCTTCGTGTAGGTTAAACACTGCAGAACAGCATTGGCATAGCAACTGCAAAATATAAACAATAAACAGTGCATAAAACATAAGCTCCTAGAACTTTCTTTTATATGCATACAAACAAGTCATCCTGCCTTGGAAATCCAAAAGGGCATTCCCAGATCACAGGTAGAAATATCGAATCACGAAGCTTAAGTAACGAACTAAATTTTTATTGGTCTGATATTGATACACTGCTTTGCAATTAACAATCAGACAGTAGTATAGTACACTTAAACTAGCTCTTGTGGGTAAAATCAAGAAAATAAGTTGCGACAAGGTATTGACGTTACTATTCATTTTGTTTTATACTTGATATGCCATTCAAGAAGTCAATCTTCAGTATTTCTTTCTTTCTTTAGTTTAAAGGAACACTTACTGCTACAGACACTTCCTACCACCAAGACCATATTCAAGTTATATGGCAAATATAGTGGAAGGTAGGACCATAAAGTAACAACAGTGATACCTGTTCCCACAATTTAGAAGGCCCCTTGGTGATATGTCAAAGACTTCACATTGGAAGAAATTTACAAATTCTTCATAAGGAAACAGCATCTAAAGACAATAGGATAACAGACCATAGTTAGAGTTTTCCATTCACAGTTCAAGAGCCCCATGGAATAATTTACCTCAAAACAGAAGGATGTGATAGATAATGTAAAGAAACTGACCTTTATTTTCTTACGTCCATCACCACAAAGTGCAGAAAAATCCTGCCTAGCAAGTTTTGGTAACTTCTTTAAACCCATCATCTCCACAATTCCCATGCTAGCAGCCCCATTGATTCCTGGTGCCAGTATGCCACTTGACATTCCAGAAACTTCTGCATTAAAATTGTAAAATATGAAAAACTTCAAAAAGCAAGCTTAAATACCAAGAAAGAAGAGTTGAAAATTTACTTAATTCATCTTGAATTTGCCCCTTCCTCTCCATTTCAGGGCACAATTGTTCTCCGGACACTTTCATTGCTAATTTAGGTGATTTAGAGATTTTGGGTCCTGGTGAATGCAATGAACTTCTGGCTTTTGTGCATTCCTTTGCTGCAATCATCCCAGAACAGTCTAATTCTATTGATTCACCACTAAGAACATTTTCCCCATTGACAAAATTCTCTGAACTCAGGATAAAGGCTTTTTCAGCTTCATGTGCACTTGTCCAACCTTTTGCAGAAGATGGTGGGCCAGAAAATTCATAGTTGCTTTTTGGTTCAGACTTGTTGCCACATGGGTTTTGATGCTTATGACTATCATGCATGGCAGTACTTGTATTTTGTCCATGAATATGCATGTTAGAGCCATTGGCATTATGCTGTTTTAAGATTCCCTCTTCTGATACAACAAAGCCACTAGTCCTTGACTGCAGCAATAGTTCAATGTAATTATCAGAAACTACATGATTAAATAAAAGTTAACACATTCTACATAAACAAATTTAAAGATAAGAACCTTATGCCTTATAAAAGCCTCTTTCGAAGAAATATTACTAGGTGTCAAACTAGTAGCTCTCCTTGAGGTTTCCTCACAAGAATCAAATATAGTTATATCCTCTCTTCTTAGCATTTCTCTGTTGGCTTTACGAGAAATTCTCTTGTCTGTACTTCTTCTATCTAGTGCACAGACTTGAGAGGTATCAACTGTAGAACAATCCCCATTAGCAAATACACCAGTGGTTATTGGAAAATGATTTATGTTATCTAAAGGTGCTTTTTCTATGACAGCCTGCTGATTAATGTACCCAGAGAACTGTGAATTCATGTTGTCACTAAGTTGCATAGATTCTTCAAATGAGGAAATACTAGGAGATGAGCCTGAGCTTGAACTCTCCAACTGTAGGCATTCTTGCTTATGAACTTGCCTCCAATGAATAATCTGGCACTTTCCAGAACTGCATATAACTTATCAGTTTAAAAGTAAACCCCAGCCTCAATTAAATGTTTATGAAAATTAGAATGAATGGGGGGATGAAATGAAACCAACAAGAAATTTAAGCCAAAATTTTAACAATCATATGGTCTGCTGGTACGATAATGGACTCTTGGTTACAAATTTCCAATAACCAGGGTTCAATTCAAGACAACCTCAAATATCCCAAAAAAAAAAAAAAAAAGAAAATTCGGCACTCAAATCAGTAATAAATAAATCAGCCCAAGGCTAGGGTTTACTGCAGCATCAGACATGAAGCACGAAAAGCTACCCAAGAATATTATGGACTAAACTTCAGGATATAAATCACTGTAATGCATTATTCAAAATTCATTTAAGACAGTCGACCACAGGGCAAGGCATATCAACCTTTGCAGAGTGATAATAAACATGAGAATATTTTATCATTTATGAAACCCTAGACTAGCCATGGACTTTTACTCCAAAATGGTGCTTTTCAGCATTTAATTCCATATTTTACTTCCTTGAACAGGAAGAGCATTCAACAATGATGAAGCACGGTAACAAAGAAAATGCATTGCAGCTACTAAGGGATAGAATATACCAATATCTGACAGCCTTGCATTTTGAGCAGCGAGTTGTTGCAGGACCAAAACATCTAGCACACGCATGTAATCCATTCTTCGAAGAAGGAACATGTGGAATAACACCGGTAGCAGCCATTGTTTCTGTTCTAAGAGCTTCTTCAGCAGCAAGTTGAGCAAGTAAACTTATCCTCTCTCGTTTCTTTGAAGCCTCACTCCATTTCCCAAGTAAGAAGTAAGCAACCAAAGGAAGCACCACCAAGACCAGAAATAATGCAGGTATATCAGCTTCCCTTGGCTCGAGCATGTCCCCACAAGCATTCTCATGTCCAATTTGGGCCCAAACTCACTATCCAGAAGATATTCTTCAAAAGCTACATAAGTCCAGTGAAATCAACATCCACACCAGCAACTTAAATTACGACATTAATTTAATCATGCTCTGCTACTTAACCCTGTCAAAATTTCTTGACTCATTCGAAGATGACTCAAGTTAGGGCAAGGGCAAATCTTTGCTTACTTTGTACCTAAACCTACCAAAGCAAAGACAATAAAACTTAAGGCAACCACAAATATATATATATAAAAATTTCAGAAAATAATTGGGAGGAAAAGTGACAAGATTTCTAGTTTGAGCTATCAACAAAAATAAGGATGCCCAACCATGACAATCAGATTTCTCTTCCATAAGATGCAACAGAGGAACTTTACTCAAACTTAACACTGCTTCAATAGTCTCTTATTTACAGGTTCAGATAAATTGCTCACCACCATTAGCATAACAAAATTAACCCATTTCTAAGTACTAGTTCCATTTTCAGGCCTCTATCTACACTATACCCAAAATGGCCAACAAAAAACACCCACTAAAAGGAGCGTTTTTCTAGGACAAAGATAGAACAAGAAGTACAGCCCAATAATTAAATCTTCTGCCCAAAAAACCCAACTTTTCTTCAATAAAATAGCAAACTCCAATGAAACCAAGCATTTCTACAACCTCAGATTCAAAACCCCAAAAAGCTAAATAAACACTAAAAAAGGTACAACTTAACGAAACGATGGCAAAGTTGAGTAAAGCTTGAATCTTTCATACCTGTTTGTCATGCAAACTGAAGAAGAAATCTAAAGAAAAAAAAAAACCAACAAACAGTGTTTTTCTTTCTTCTTTTAGACTTGTTTTTTTTTCTTTGCTTCAAAAAGATTCTTTGATTACTCGGATGGTAAGACTAAAGACAGTAGTTTTTCTTTCTCTCTCTTAGTACTATGCAATGCGGCACTGCTGTGCCTTCACACTTCTTTCCACTTTTTAAGATTTTGGCAAATTTTAATGTCTCAGACCCAAGGCAATACACTTTTAATCACTTTAGCCACGTGGCACATGGCAATTTGCTATGAACTGGACAGAGGGTGGGGACCACTCTTTGTCCTGTTTATAGGGAGTGATGACGAAATCAAAACGATTTGTTTACAACCGTCTGATTTGTGGAATTGAGATTTTGGACTTTACTTCCTATGTGTTTTTTTATTTATTTCTTTTTTTTCAAGTCAGGTCATTTGGCCTTGATATAGTGACAGCAGATAAGATAAAATAAAAAAAAATTATTTAAAAAAAAAAAGATATAGGATGCTCTTGCCAATGATTTTACTGTTAGACACGTGTAAGGATAGGATCAACTGTGGAGGAGAATTGTTCGGGCGGGTGCATGCATGACAGGATTTTTAAATTGGTTTTCTTTTCTTTTTTTTTTTGTTTAGTTAATTACAAAAATTAAAAATTATTGTATAATCACGAATTGAATAATTGTGTGTTTATAGTAAAGAATTTGGGTTTGACTACTGACCTACCGACCCCATGTTTGTTACTTACTTTCTTGAAGTAGGTAGCTCTCAGCTAACGTTTTCCCCTGAGAATATTTGATGTAAAATCATGTCACACCCAAAAGAGCTTCTACCAACTATCTTAAATACTCAATAGTAAATGAGAATTAATGAAGACCTTTTGTAAAGATCACAATTCACAGTATGCTTGTAATCATGGGCCAAACCCAAAGCCCACCAGTTCTGTAGCATTAACTGTTCTTTTGTTAATCTGAAATTAACCTTTTCAGGATTGACAAAAGAAAATTGTTTAGCAAACAAATACATAAAATAATATGTTTGTGATTTATTTTGTAGCATGTACAACTAAAAAATATAGTAACAATAATATTCAATGCTTCTTTGAATCGTGAAAACTCCAATCGCATCGTATCATAATTATTTTTTATGATTAAATTTTTAAGAATTTAATTATAAAACAATTAATATTACGGCAGGTGAGAATTCATGTCATCTGACCGTTAAAAGAAGCATAAAAAATATAGTATGACTATCATAGGGCATATAATAAATTAAAAAAATAAATAAATAAATTGACATTACGTTGAATCAAATTCAATGACTCGAACCAAAAATCTAGAGGATAAATTCGTATACCAATGTGAATCTTTCCACTATAGTTGTTGATAAATGGTAGCCCTCCATTGTTGATGTAGTGCTCTTGGTAGGTCCACTAGGTGTTAGTGGATATCTGTTTGACTCTACTTTTCCATCTTTACCACTGCATCTGCATCTATTGAATTTGGTTCCTTTCATTTCACTAGGCATGTGAAAAGGCTTTCAATGCTACTAAAATGGTATGCTAATATTTCATAGGTTGTTGAATTGGTTCAGTGTTTACAGCTGTACTATTGTGATACATGATATTGGGTTGGGATGGACTTCCAGATTTGGTTCCTTCGTTTCACAAAGATTTCAAGGGCTTTTTCCAAGCTCCTGCTGCAGCTTATAGTGACATAATTAACCATGACTATAACTCTAATGAACTTTCAACTTCTGGTATGATTATAGTTTAGCAATAACCATGATGCAGAGGATATAGATGGGTTTTTCAACTTGTGCTTATTTCATAGCGTGCTGTCTCTCTTGATGATTGCGTAGAATCTGTTTAGAGTTTGATAAACGATCCAGTGGCATTGGAGGTCTTTATCCTGCATTGAAGAACCTCTATTCCTGTCATTTTCCTGCCATAAATAATGAAACCTTTGAATATTGTTATTGAAATAGACAAACAGTTATCTGATAAGTGGTAACTGAAACAAGAGCTTAGAATTACTATAGTTGGTTGACTGTTTACAATCTTGATCATCAATATGTACTTGATGTTGCTAGGTTTTCCATGCATTTATATAGTTTTAGGAATATCCTGAGCTGAAATGAAATCCCATTTCTCAGTTCCTTTCTTTTTTGTTTTTTTTTTTTCTTCTGTCACACTGACTGAGACATAATCAATGTGAAAACAATATGATCAATTGAAAGCTGGCAAAAACTGAAGACCATTTGATATGTATTTTGCTTGTCCTTCCGCAAAAGATATGATCCTTGAATAGATCAATTATTCGACATATGAAGTCCTTCTTATATTGGATCAGTCTCAAACCTATTGTGGTGCAATGGCAGACTGCTGATTACTGAAATCCAAGCCCAAAAAAAAAAAAAAAGGCAAAATTCTGATTAAGGGAACGATTATCTTATACTGTTCCGAAAATCAGATCATGATAATAGTTATTTTGGAAGAACTAAGCCCACTCTACGCTTTTGAGTCAAGGTGATATATGTTTAGATAATCGTATCAAGGTTTTGGTGTGGGCTTCCACAGTAAAGTATAAGAGCATGTATGATCTAAACATTCTCCTGTTCATATATGGTATCAAAATGAATAGTTTGCTTGTATGCAAGTAACCTGTTATTGTCCAGATTCTTCTGCAAGTGGGGAGACCGGCTATTTAAGGAGCCTCCAGGCAAACCAATGCCTCAACACAGTTAGATTTCAACTTTCTTAGCTTTGAAAGCATGATTTATTGGCTTAATGTAGCAATTATTAATTTATTGCTTATCTCAGTCAGATAAGTGGTGGTTAAAGTCTTGTCTTGTCAGCCTGCCTTGTGGTGCTCGACCATAGCTGTAGGTGAAAGATCAAAAAAGCAATTAAATGTTATCTGATAAATTTTCTGGAGTCTTATGTTAATGCCCTGGATAATTATATCAACCACGCATTCAAAAAATCTGTGTTATTCTGAATTCAAATTACATGCATGCATTTATCAATTTTGAGATGTAACAGCATGCGACCACATTGTATGCTTCTTTCACATTTCTCATTCATGGATGTTACTATGCTGTGACTGTTTGCGGGTTAAGATGGATCATTTTGCACCGCTGCTTCAACTTCAACGGGTTTGGCAAAAGGTCACAAGTCATCTTATCTGTTCCTTTTGCACTTCTTTTTTTCTTTCTTTCTTTCCCTAGCAAAGCATTACTTTTTCTAGAAGTAGACAAAAGTGACTGAATTTCTACAATATTGATATATGAAATCGTAAATCCTTTTTTGTGAAAAATAGGTAGACCTAGCGAGGATTCATGTAGTCAATAACTTAATAGTAAATCGTTTATAACTTACTAGTAAATCATCTATAACTTAATGATAAATTGATGATAATTTAGTAGTAAATCAGTGATAAGATAGTAATATGCAGTAGATAACTTATTTATTAATTAATGATAATATTTTTTTATATTTGAAGTTATCAGTGATTGAATCCTGGTTACTAAAAAAAGCAAAGTTAGAATTTTCATCATTAGAAATTAGAATAAACCTACCATGAACCTATTCATTAAAAAAATTTAGCAAAAAAATTTTAAATTTGAATGAAACAATGATGTTATTATATATAAAAAAAAATTATCTCATATATTGTAATTTATTGATAAATTAATAGTAAATAATAAATGACTTAGTCGTAATTCAGTTGATAACTTAATAGTAAATAATTGATAACTTAATAGTTAATTATTAAAATGTTAGTAATAGATCAATGGTAATTAGTAAATGCATAATAATATAGTAATAAATCAATGAATTTAGTAGTAAATCACTAATACCATACTAATAAATCACTTATAATTTAGTTGTATATCAATGATAATTTAGTAGTAAATTAGTTAATCATTTATAATTTTGCAATAAATTATTGATAACTTCATAGAAAATTAGTTATGACTTTATAATAAATTATCAATAACTTAGTAGTAAATCATTTATAATTTAATAGTAAATCATTTATAATTTAATAGTAAATCATTGATAATTTAATAATAATTCACTAATAACATAGTAATAAATCAGTGATAATTTAGTTATCAATCAATGATAAAATTTTTTTATACTTGAAGTTTTTAAAGATTAAACTCTAGTTATTAGCAATAATGAAGTCAAAACTTAGTAATAAATTAGTTATAATAATAAATCAATGTTAACTTAGTCATAATTTATTGATAACTTAATGATAAATCAATGATAACAATAAACTAATGATAACTTATAATAAATCAAATTTAGCTTAGTAATAAAATATGGATAACTTAATAATAAATTATTCATATTTTAATAATAAATTAGTGATATAACTTAGTAGTAAATTATCGATAATATATATTAGTAAATCATTACTAACTTAGTATTTTTTTTCTTTTGTTTTGGTTGAATATTGATATAGAGCTATATTTTTTTAATATGTGTAACATATTTGATTCATTTAAAAATTATATTTATTGCTATTTAATACTAAGGTATTGAATTACAAATATTTATGGATATTGTACAAATATATAAATAATTAAAACAATATTCATGTACTAATTACTATAACAGCATAATTTTATTGAAAAAAAAAATCAAATTTTGAAGTGAAAATTTGGAATGACTTTTTTTAAATTTGTATGTCATTTACTATCTACTTGATAATAAATTAATACTAACTAGATTAATGCTATATCTTTACTAAAAATAAATTGTTATGTTATGTGGTAGCCTTAATAACACTGAGAGCAACTATACAAAAAATTATTGTCTTTAAAGATAATTTTAAAATGAAAGAAAGAAATAATGAGTCTAAACTTATTAGATAACACCATAAAAAAATTACCTATAAGTTATTTTCTCAAATACATAATATTTTAAATTAAAATATATGATTTAATAATATGAATAATAGTATGAATTCGATAAATTATAATTTTATAACAATATCAGTTAAATGATGAAATTTTTGTATAAGTTATACTAGATATATAATTAAGTGTTCGATAAATAAAAAAATTACTTCATTTTAATTAAAAAAGAGTTCAAATATTAAAAATATATTCATTATCAATTTTAAAATCTAACATTTAAAACATAGTTTTCCTTCAAAATATAATAATAT